TTCTCGACCAGTAATGAATAACTGCTGCCAGCGTAAAATAGCAGCTTAAAGCTGCCGTGTTTTGTTTGGTGATTGTAGAGAGACGGAGACTTTGTTTATTTTAGTGATAACGAAGCAAACTATCTTGGTCTTCGGGGGTGACTGCACATCTTACTTATTATTCTATAAATACAGATATTTCATTTTAGTTGAAAACTTGCATGTGTCAGAAAAATACAATTCAAGGGAATATAAAACTGCAAACACGCACTGTAGCTTTGCGACCACATACTCGTAAAAATGAGAACAGTAGGACGTTTTTCTTTTTTTTTAAAGGTGAAAAAAGTGCACGCTGTCCACCTGATGGTAAGTGAATGCTGTAGCTCATATAAATCTACATTTATCTTCAATTAAGAATCAAAATGCAGATGCGCAGTCACCTCTGATAACTAATATGTAACGCCTCGTTTCCAGTAAAAAGAGTATCCGGTTCCCTCACACTCACCATACGAAACACAGCAGTATTAAGCTGCTATATCACCCTCCGTTGTAGTCCATCCCCGGTGGAGCCAAAATAATCATGCTACAACAAACAACAAAGTAGTACTTCGTACATTATAACTCAATGGCTATAACCATAATATAGCTGCAGCGTGTTCTACATGTTTAAATATCTTATTTATATATTTTATTAGGTTGTATCTATATTATGCTTTTTATTTGTATAGAAGGAGCAAAAATTTATTTAATTTTAATGTGCAATTATTATTAAATTTTATTGCAGTTCACATAACCTACGATGTGAATAATCTTTCTTTTCTTCTTACCCGTTATTTTTGATTCAAGTTTACAATAGAATATGTACATAGGACTGAAAACGTTCCTGCATAAATCTGGATTAATTAAGACCAGCATAGATGTCTGCACACGAACAGGCAGCGAGCCAATCACAGCGCTAAGATTAATTTGAAGGAATTTGCATTTTAATTTTAAATAAAAGTTAGCAAGTGTTCAAAGTGATCGTACTCGCTGGTATCTCAGGATCGTATATTGTGGCAGTGTGAGGGAGACCTATATTCAGCAGTAGACGGTGGGAAATCACTACCAGATACAATTAACGAAAATGGTGCCTATTTATGTGGGACAAAGTAATAATCGTCAAATTTGGCTAGCAAATAAACGATCACAGTACAAGACATGGACCTTCAAATCAAATCAAATCAATTTTATTGTTATCGACAGATTATTATAAGGTGTTTTCTACCGACTTCAAAAAGGAGACGGTACTCAATTCGACGCTTATAAGTGCGGCTTTTAACCCCCGCCGAAAACAGAGGGGTGTTATATGTTTGTAGTGTGTACGTGTGTGTCCTTGTGTGCCATGATAGCTCCTGAACGGATGAACCGATTTTGATTTAGTTTTTTTTTTCTTTTGATACGTGTCTTAATCTAGAATGTTCTTAGCTATGTTGTGAGAAATCAGTTCAGCCATTTGAAGATCATAAGCTCTTTTTATTTCGGAACTTTTATTAATTTTTAATTTAATTTATAGTGACTTATTCATAAAGACAGTAATTTATTTTTATTATTCTGTTGTTTTTGATATGAAATAGTGTATTGTTATGTAGCAGTTTGTTTCCACACACACGTGTGTACATGACAAACCACGCGTTACTTTATTTAAAACTTTTATACTTATCATCAGTGAATAAATGATCTAAATAAAAATGTTGCCTATTAAGAATCTTATTCATTATAATTATATTCATACTATCGAAAAATATTTTATGATTACCGCTTAAAAGTTTTTAAAAGTCTATTGGATTAAGAATTTATTTTATGTATGCGCATATTTTTTCCGACCATGTTCCGTTTCAAGAAGTATCAATATTCGCGCACCAAAATCGTGTCTAAAATACGATATTTTCTTCAACATGGCCTTCATTATTCTTACAGCCTATCACAAATCCACTGCTGAACATAGCCCTCCCTCAAGTCATGCCACAAAGCACGGTCATGAGACACCTGTAATATGCCTTTAACCACAAGTAATAGAATCACATTGTTTTATTTTCTATTATCAAAATCACACAATGAACATACGACGCGACGCGATGCGCGCACACACCACTCGATCCAATTTATCCAGTTTAACGTGTTACCGATAGCCGATGTAAACACTTCACCTTAATGATGTTATCGCACGTGACCTGAAGATAGAGAGCATTTAGGAATTTGTGGCCAGTTTGTATGTTTGACCGTACTGACATCTTACCACGTTCGGCCCGCTTCACACATGACCACCAAACGGACAACCACTCCCATGAGAAATCCCAACGCCGCACGGCTGAGTTGAGTTCGAGGACGAGCCCGACGTGTCCGACTATAGGATTACAACTCCATAGATGTTGAGACGAAGATAGAGCGCTTTATTATGTCTTCAACTACCAAGAAGTTAATCAGTCCCGCAAAAATATCGATTACGAAGACCGAGTGAGCGGTAACTCACATGTGTTGATGCCCGGATACGGTACGGGTACGGTACAAATTTCAAGATTAAGTAATAGGTAAAATATGAAGACATGCACATCCGTTTGTGGACGTACTTTTCAAAACTTGACTATTCCATTTTCGCCCAAAGTAGATTTTTTAATTTTTTTAGGTTGATTACATTGAAATGTATATGCATCGAAAACAAAATCCTGACAAAACGTGATAGATCAACTAGAAAAATATATTTCAAAACGCATGATTTCGTCACAAGTAGATTATTCCTAAAAAGAAAAAGAAGATTAATGACATATTAACAACAAAACATGATTAATCCAGAAGATATTTTTTTTATCACTGGAAATTGTAACAAAACATGTTTTTTCCTCATATTTTTAAGGTAGTTGTTTTTATGTTCTACAATTGGACTGAAATACAAGCAAATAGGTGCGCAACAGAAATCGGTTCTGCTTTACTAGATTTTTTAAAAACTCATGATTTTGATGGTATTCATACTATCAGGTTGTTTTGTGATGGCTGTGGGGGCCAGAGCAAAAATTCCCATATTGTGCATTTACTATTGTTTTGGCTCCAAAAGCTGTCACCAGAAAATGTAGAAAAAATACAATTGTTTTTCCCAGTCAGAGGAAACAGTTTCTTGCCTGCTGACAGGGTTATTGGACGTGTAGAAAAGGAACTCAGGTGTCATCCAATTATAACAACCTTAGAAGAATACATACAATATTACTCTCAGTTTGGAACAGTAAAAAAATTAGGAATTGATTGGAAGTCATATAATATTAAAGATTTGGAAAAGGTTTACAAGAAAGTTACAGGTATATAGAATTTTAAAAGAATAACTTTTATTAAAACTATTAATAAAAGAAACCAACGTCAATGTCACATTAAAACTTTTGAAAATTACATGTTTACATCGGATGTCGAAAATAATGTAAAATTAAACTTTGTTGTGACAAACAAGTCGGGTTAACCTTGATTTAGCTGAATTGGCAATAGAAAAACACTTGAATTTAAAAAGAAAAATGATGTAAAAAACCTGCTTGTGAAACAATTTGGTGAAAACTGGGCAGAAAACCAGGAGCTTTCCTGGTATGTGAATATAATAAATGGTTGCAATAATCCTGAAAACGATGAAAAAGATGCTTGTGACAATGATGAAAATTGTGATTGCCTTGAATATGAAACGGCTGTTAAAATTTAAGTATATTTAAATAAAAAAATAATTTCTTAATTACATTAGTTTTATTTATTTTATTTCAAGATGAAAATGAGGTTAGTCAATTTTGTTTAAGTGATAAAGTTATTAAATAATATTACATATAATATTAGAATGATATAAAAAATAAAAAAAGAATTTCATTAAGTAAAACACCATTTTAAATTAATTTCAACAAAATAAGATTAATCCACAATGGTTTGAATCAAAACTAGATTATTCCTTTAAAGCACATAACAAAACTTAATTATTCCAATCAGCCTAGTCAAAACTTGATTATTCCATTTTAAAATTCTAGATTTATTCTATATTATATTACAGCAAAAAATTTGAAAGTCATACAAAATAATCACTATTTTTGTTGTATATTATAATTCATCAACATTTTATATTAAACACATAACTGTGCTCTTAAAATTATATTTCTTTAAATTATACAAAAACACAAAAAGTGGAATAGTCAAGTTTTGAAAAGTACCTTCTCGTTTTAAAAAATTTTGTCTCTTTGTGTATTTCGGTTTTTTTCCGAATAGGTGAATTGATTGTGATGGAACTTTAAAAACAGATAAAGAGCAATACCATGAGGAATCTAGGCTACGATTAATAAAAAAAACTTGGAGAGTGTTTAAAAAATAAGAAAAATTGATAAAATGAATGTTCTTTGATTATCTCCTTTACGTGGTAGAGCTATGCTGCAGCTATATTAGTAGTATAGTTGTAGCATGAATGGGTCGGCTCGACCGGAGTAGGACCACGCTCTCACAGAATACCAGCGCAAAATAGCAGATTAAAATTGCTGTGTTTCGTATGGTGAGTGTAGAGAACCAGAGACCCTTTTTACTGGAAAAGGAGCATTCCATCTTAGTCCTCACGGGTGACAACGCATCTGCATTTCGATTCCTTAATGAGGATAGGTATAGATGTCTATGGGTCACAGCAACCACTTACCATCAGATGTACTGTGTGCTCGTTTGTCAATCGATCCTATAAAAAAAATCTTAAATTTAAATAATGGCTGATTTACACAGGGTCAGTAACTGACTACAAATTCGAGGCAAGTCAGTGCTGACCCGAAAAAAAACTGTGTAAACTGATTTGAAGCCAGTACAGTGGCTTGAAGTCAGCGCTGACTTGAATATTCGGACACGAATATTTTAAAGTCAGTTGGCGCCCCCCACCACCCGCACACCCCCGCGCCAGCCAAATAAACCCCGTGTAAACAGACAAGTCAGTGCGTGGTTAGTCACTGCCGCTGCGTTGTAGAGTGACCACGTTTTTTTCGCTGGCGATCAAAATGACGCGTAAGCTTAGCGAAGACGAAACCTTAAAATTGGTGCAATTATATGGCGAAAACGAGTGCCTTTGGGATATTAAATCCCTAAATTACCGCAATAAAGAAATGCGGTCAACAGCGTTGCAAAATATGGCTCAACAAATGCAAATCGGAGGGCTCACTTCGACTGAAGTAAAAAATAAAATTAAAGCCATAAGGGCTACATATTATTTAGAGCTCGACAAGATACAAAAATCCACCAGATCTGGCGCTGGAGGGAACGTATATGTCCCAAAAGTCAAGCGGTTTCAAGAACTGGACGGCTTTATAAAAAATGCTATTGTAAAAAGGAAAACAATGGTAAGTAGTTATTGTAACTTATTTATTTTATTTCCATCCTAGGTACCTATATAAAATTAATGAATTCTATCCAATTGCCATGGCACACTTCCAGCAGTCATAAAGAAGTTCCTATATAGGTCTCTTTTTTCTTTAGCAGTCATGGAATGGTTGCCTCTTTGTTGTTCTGAAATGCTTGGTAGTGAATTTATTTCCGATCTCCATGTTCCTTCTATTATTTGTCCATCATTGTCCTCTCTGTCTACACAAGTAGATGTTATGTAGGAACTTGAACGCTTTCGCAACCAATTATGCAGGGCACAGGCTGCACAGACAATGGCATCAACTGTGTCCACATGGGTTGGAATTGCTTTTTCGAACACTCGGAATCTAGAAACCAGTATACCAAAAGCATTTTCACTTATGCGCCTTGCACGCGACAACCTGTAGTTAAAGACTTTTTCGGCAGTACTTAGCTGCGTACCTGGATAGGGTTTTAGTAAATAATTCTTCAGTGGAAATGCTGCATCACCAACTATTACTCCATTTGTAGGAAGCAATCCATCTTCCAACCGACGATATAATGAGGAATTTTTGAAAACACCTCCATCAGAGGCGTTTCCATTCGCTCCAATGTCTATATATGAAAAACAATAGTCGTGGTCTACAAGTGCTAACAATACTGTACTATTGTTTTTTTTATAATTATAAAATTCACTTCCACTATTTGGAGGAGCTTTAATTATAATATGCTTCCCATCGATTGCTCCATAACATGAAGGGAAATTCCACTTGGTATTGAAACCGTCTTCAATAATTTTCCATTCTTCCTCTCGTTCTGGAATCTGTAAACAAAAAAAAAATAATTACAACCTAAATACGTATTATCATCAACTAATGATTTATTAAACATTACATTTTATTTTCATTAACAGGATAACTCAGGAACCAGCAACGATGACGTTGAGTTGGGTGAAGCTGAGGGTGTTGGTGATGGAGCTGAAAATGTATCAAGATCTACTGAAAATAATGATAATTCTACTGAAACGCCAACTCAAGCCATCCAGACGCCAGTTCGAAATTCTGTGACAGCTCCCAATCAATCTGGGCATCCGCGATCAAAACGCTCCAAAATATCTCAGATGGCCGCCATGATAAAGGACTTAAAAAGTGTTTCAAATGATGTTAATATGTCACCATTTGAAGAAGATTCTGACGCTGATATTTTCGGTAAACATGTGGCAGCTCAACTAAAAAAACTGTCTGAAGAACAATCTGTTATTGCACAAGAAGAGATCCAAAAAATATTATCCAAAGCTAGATTGGCTGATATACAACAAAAGAAGTATACAGAAAATGCACACTCTTCATCCCCTAACTATTTTATCCCTAGTCCGGCAGCAACTACAACAAGCAGCACAAGTAGCATGGGATTTTACTCCCTGGAGCCCAACCCAATATCAAGCGACAACACCATAACATTTTACCCGCCAGAGGTTGCCGAGCCTGCCACTATCAACAGCTCTTTAGGATTTCATCCTTCCGATCGATCAACGAACCCTACATTTGTAAACCCCAGGCAGGTTATTATTACACCCGCAGGTTTGAATTACAGCACCACGATCAACGAAGAAGCTGAAAGTGAAAATAACACTGCTGTTAACACGATTATGCGTTCCTATGAAAATTCTTAATACTATTTTGATGTTGTATTTCTTAATTTTCTAATAATTTAATAATAAAAATTTTCTTACCTTAATATGTGTCTTTAGTGCCGTATATATTGCCCAGCACACTTCTGGTATTAGTTGAGAAATTGCTGGTTTTGAGACACGATAAAAGTGACTAAGGAACCGATAGTTCATTCCTGAAGTCTAAAATGTCAGCGTTATTTCCAGTTTAATTTTGGCTGGTAAAGCATCTCTCATGAATGTATCATGTCGTTGAATAGAGCTCGATATCATTGACAGCAATTCGTCAAAATTCTGTGGTGACATCCTCATAGCCAGTTTGTACTCCGCAGGATCTTCAAATCGCAATTGCTTCAGCAACAAAGCAGAGCCACCAGTTTCATTTCTATCGTCAATCCATTTTCTTACCCATTGTAGTTTATTTTTAGTTATCTCATTTTCTACCATTTCTATTAATTCATTCAACAGCGAAATTGATAAATTTTTCAACAAATAATTAAATCGTCGTTTCAGTTGTTTTCGCGAATTCATATTTCCCACTGACTTCACACACGTGTGCTCACCGTGAGAAACGCACCACTACTACTTACTTCATGTAAACAGTTAAAGTCAGTCGCGGCGCCGACATTGGCGCTGCGACTGACTTGTCTACTGACCCTGTGTAAATCAGCCTTAACGCCAATTTTATAGATTCTATCCAGACTAAGCCAGTTGTTAGCTAGTTGTTTTTGTTTGTACAAAAAGTCATTAATACATTTTAGTAAAAAGATATGTATTTTAAAACAATCTGTTTTTCCAGTTATAGCGAGAACTCGTCAAAATCTGAGCGCTGCTTCTGTAACTTTATGAGGATGCGCTAAGCAAATCCTTTGTCTATGCCGACACTTACAAACGCACTGGCCCGTGCAAATTTTAATGAGTGTACTCTGCACAGGATCTCTTCAACTTTTATCTTTTTTATATAATTTTTTTCGGCTTACTGGGCTTTACCGTGCAATTAGTGTACGGCCGGCCGAGCTAAATTACATACGAGATTAAACTTCAGCTTCTGACTGACGTATAGTGCTGGCGTAAGAGAATTTACTACGCCATGTCTTCCCGTGGGTGCCGTAAGAGGCGACCCGGAGAAACAATCCAGGAGATGGGCAGAAGCGTTTTCGTAACAACGACTAAAAATAAAAACTGCAAGGTATTTGTTCCGCGGTAGACTTTTGATTGACTGTAATAAATGAATGATTGAAATGCTCCATCCAAGCTCCAGATTGGCGGAGACAATACATATTATGTTGATTTTTCTCACGTTCATCCATCCTTCCATTACAGGCAGTAGAAATCCACTAAACTGTAGTCAATTGAACATAGGCATCTTCCATTGATTGCCACATAGGGAGGATTTTGCCATAGTTGCCATGCTTCGCAGGCGCGTTGGCAACCGCAATGTTCATAATTTTAAGTCGTTGTCAGGAAGATGCTGCTGCCCATCTCCTAGTTTTGTTACCGTCTGGTGCCTTTTACGAGAGCCTTAAGACGATATGGGTCAGTAGATATTTATACACCACTACTAAACATATTTTTACCAAACTATGTTTTTTATATTTTGGAATTTGAAATATTTTTAAAGGTCTTATTAGCTTTGAAACAACTTTAAACTGAATAGTTCGGATTGAAAAAGTTCAAGTTACGCAATTAAGACATTAGGAAAGTAAGGACGAGTATTAAGTACATCTTGTGACGAGCATCGACTGGTGATAGATGTTACGATTAAATGTACTGGAATTTAATTAGTTAGTCTTATTGTGCTGTAGGGTAATAAGTTAATATTTTGATAAAAGTTTATTTATATTTTTAGAATGATGCTTACTCTTAAATAGCAATTATATTTTTCATGGTCATTTAATGCCTCGTTAGTCTAGTGGTCGTAATCGCGACTGCTGATCATGTTGTGCTCCCAGGTTCAAATCCCGGGTCGGGCCAAAATCAATTATTGTGTTTTGTTTTTTGTTAAGAATTTATCAATAGCAGCGCGAAGTCAGGAAGCTAGCGGTGTTTCATCGCCGTGCCTCGGATGGGATCTGTATGGAGGAAATTATTATACACCCATTTGATTTTTATTTTTCCAAAATAAGAAGTTTACTTTAAAACATCTATGTCATAGGCTTCTGCTTCGTCAACCTACATATATTCCTCACGCTAAAACATGTAAGCAGTTATTATAGTTGGTATTTCTGTTCTTGTTAAGTCATTCATCGTGTAATACTTTAAAAAAAAACTCTTGAATGACCTTGAATTGACGTTATATTTACACCATACATTTGTTTTGTAGAGAAGATAGCTCAAAGCTATGCTGGAATTCGATAGGTTGAGCTGTAGTCAAGTTACGAAATCTGTACATATAGACCAAACGAATTCTTAATCTATTTTGGCGTCACAAAAGAAAATCACAAAATCTGGAATCTCTAGATGGCACAGTGGTCGATATCTACTACCCTTTATCATCCCGTGGGTGTCGTAAGAGACAACAAAGGAAAACACACCCACGTCTAAAAAAAATAAACTGACTTGCTTGCCATACGTGGCTACTACGGTAAATGTCCACCATATGAAGCAATCTATGAGTAAGGCATATGTGCAGCAATGGACTTTAATGGCTGTTATGCTGACTAGTGGTCTTGTTCTTCAAGAAAGGCGACAACGCTCTCTTGAAGAACTACAGACAGCCACGATGGCTATCCGAGTACAGAACCAGAGCACGAAACCTATCTAATTGTAGAGAGGTGTAAGACAGGGTAAAGTTATATCTCTGAAACTCTTCACCGCTGCATGTGCAGACATTTTCAAGCCAGTGGACTAGAAAAGATATGGTATTAACGTTAATAACGAGTACATCACTCGCCTTCGTTTTGCCGACGATATAGTACTTATGGCAGAATCGTTGGATGACCTAAGCACTATGCTCAATGACCACAATAGTGTCTCCCAACGGATAGGTCTTAAGATGAACATGAACAAAACAAAAATCGTGTTTAACGTCCACGTCACACTTATGCTGGTAGTGAATGCGAGCGCTAAGCTCGAAGTTGTTGTATGTTTACCTAGGACAATAAGTCCGACTAGGTAAGTCCAACTTCGACCGATAGGTCAATCAACGATTCAACTCGGCGATTACGACACATGTTCTTGTTAGACATACCTCAAAAACTCAAAACTAGATTGTTAAACCAGTGCCTGTTGCCGGTGATGACCTATGGATCTGAGACGTGGTCCTTCACTGCTGGCCGTATGAGGAAGCTCAAAGTCGCTCAGCGAGCTATGTAAAGGACTATGCTTGGAGTTTCTTTTCGTAATTAACTTAGGAATGAGGATATCCGCAGAAGAACCAGAGTAACCGACATAGCCCAAAGAATTAGTATGCTGAAGTGGCAATGGGCCGGCCATATAGCTCGAAGAACCGTCAAACAATGGGGAAGAAAGGTTCTCGAGTGGCAGCCTCGTATCGGCAGGCGAAGTGTAGGGCGTCCTCCTAGATGGAGTGACGACCTGGTAATAATACTATTTTATTTTTATTAAGACAATGTTCGACAAAATATTTTTACTACGTACAAAAAGAACAGTTTGATCTATAAAAAAGTTAGTTTTTATTTTAAATTATTCGCATATACATTACAATATGGCATCGTTCGAATAAAACTAAATCCTGTAGAAAAAAAGTTTTGATTTATTAGCACATTTAAGAATATTATTATGTCGCAGTAAGTTTTTGGACGTTTGAATAAGAAAGATTTTTTTGCAATCTATGAAATTTATGGACGCAAAACATATGATAAATTCCTCACTACTTTTACAAAAGCAAGTAGAGTTGAGATGATTTAAAATCAATAAAAATAGCAAGATTCTACTGTGTTAGATATTTTAAGACTGAATTATAATAATTTTGATTGCAGTGATTTTATATGTATAAATAAGCAATAAGTTGCAAAATATGAACGCATTTTCACTCCAGAGCACTAAGATAATATGACCAGTGAAAAGGGTCTCCAGTTCTCATTAATTTCCATACGAAAAGTCACATGTTTCACGCTGAGCAAGCGTAGGCCTTCCCCAGTCGAGCCGGCTCATTTTTAAGTAAGTGCATAAAATATTACGCTTATAATGGAGTATGTTTCAGTTGTGTAAAAAAGTTTTACCTTTAGTAATTTTGGTAAGAAGGAACTAACAGTTGCCCTGATGGCAGAAGATACCTATAGCTCGTCAAAACTACTTTTTTCTACATTTTTTAGACAAAAACTTCAGAACTTCAGGTACTTGTATTTTTCTCTCGAAGAAGCTACATTTGAGCCAAGTGCATTTGATATTAAGCACTTTAGTGGTGATAATGGAATACATTTGAATTTTGTCGTTGTTCATCGACTAAGCGGCTTATCTTGCAGTTATTTCGCACACGTAAAGACAAAAAATTAAATTACTAGCGTTAGCCAGTAGGACCTTATCGTATTGCATATGAAATATTTGCTTCTTATTATAATACAAGACGGTTGTTTTATACCAGGAGTACCTAACATGTATAATTTATATCACACTAATGTCCACAAGTAAAACGATATGTGAAATAAGAATAGAAGGGGAGTTGGTAGAGCAAGTAGATGAGTTTGTATATTTGGGATGTGTGTTTAGCAGGGATGGTAAATATGATAAGGATATAGAACGACGAGTGAATGCAGGAAATAGAGTGAATGGGGCTCTACACTCTATTGTGAAAAGTCAGAATGTGTCCAAAAAGGCACGTATGGCAATTCACAATGCTGTGTTAGTACCTACTTTAATGTATGGTAGTGAAAGTTGGGTGTGGCAGAAGAAGCATGAGAGTAGAATAAATGCTGTAGAAATGCGGTCATTAAGGAGTATGTTAGGGATGAAGCTGAATGACAGAGTGAGAAATTGTTTAATAAGAGAAGAGTGTGGTTTGCAAGATGATGTTGTGACCAGGATTAAGAAAGGAATGCTTCGGTGGTTTGGCCATGTAGAAAGAATGAATGAGGAAAGAGTGACAAAGCAAATTTATGTTCCAGAGGTGAACAGCATAGTCGGTAAGGGTCGCCCTAGGCTAAAGTTTATCGACCAAATTGGCGATATATTAAAAATGGGCCAAATCAAGAGTACCTTTAACCGACGAGCGTGTATGCGTAGGTATATGGATGTGGAGGAAGCGAGAGAGGTGTGTCAGGATCGTGCCAAATGGAAGTCCATAATCTCTGCCTACCCCTCTGGGTGACAGGCGTGAGTGAGTATGTTTTTTTTTTATGTCCACAAAGTTATATTGGACCAATAAGTTTTAAATCATAAATAGTTAAATCAAATTATAAATCATTAAACATATCACAGAAATCTTAAAGAGAACAGTGCTGCTAACTGAAGTAATGGATAGGAGGGTAGTACATAATTAAAGTAGTGATTTCTGCCGTCAAGCACCAGTGTGTGCATTGCTGTAGCCCGGTTTGAACGGTAAACACAGACAGTATAATTACAGACTGCGAGGCATTCTATCTTAGCCCACAGAGGTGGTAACGTATCTGCAGCATTCTCTGGTTGAAGTTGGCTTCATTTGTCTATGGTCTACAATTACCACTTATTATCTGATGGAAGGGCCAGGTGGACTCCTAATTCGATTATCACTTCAATTTTGTATTAATACATCACTAATTACAGTCTATCAAAAGTCCACGGCTAAACATAGGCCTCATCAATAGGTTGCCTCACAGAGGATGTATGTTATAACTATAGCAAACTGCTTACATGCTTAGCAGGTTGTTTAGAAATATTTTTACTATTTTTAACTCTTAACACGAAGATGCCGCTGCCTATT